AAAAAAAAAAAAAAAAAACACACAACAAGCCAGGTGTGTGGATCATGTCTGTGATCCACAGCACTCTTGAGTTCAATTCCAGCTACTGGTGCAGAATCAGCAATCAGACCGCAAAACCAAACCTGTAGGCAGCATTTACAATAAATTTAGATGAGAAAACAGCATGCAGGACCCAAATTACACAGATTAGGGACGAGAGCTGTGAGCACTGGGCCGGGAGGAGAGCTGGCTGTGTTCTGATGAGGGTGATCCAGCCATGTGAGTTTTACCCTGGGGGAGAAATATAACCACTTTCTCTCTTCTGGGGACAGACTCTCACTCTGTAGTTAAGGCTGGCCTTAAATTCACTAACAAGTTCAGGCTGGCCTTGAACTGGTGGTAATCCTCCTGTCTCAGTCTCCTCCCAAGTTCTGTACCTAAGGACACTAATGTCTTAGTGTCATTATTCTAAGACTGCGGTACACTGATATGGGAAAAACCAAGTAAGTACTGATGTGACCAACCAACTCCCATCATCTACACCCTTGAGAACTAGGGCCAAGAGAAGACATGCAGTTACAAGGTGGCGAGTACAGAGAGCATCAGCATGGCCCTCCCTTCAGCAACCCCAGCTTCCAGGTCGGAACTCTGAGTGCTACATCCCAAGCCCATAATGCAAGAAGAGCAATGACTGACCATCTTGGTGGTTTGGGCTTTTGTTAATCAGTGCGTATCTGTAGTACACAACGTTCACATTCCATGGTAAGCCACTGGCGACCACCGCCCTCCTGAGCCCACCTGACTCTGATCCTGTGCTCGGCGGCAGTAACCTAAACCCTGCTGCTGCCATGCTCAGTAATCAGCTAAGGTGTGTGCAAGAGTCTGGGTCTAAAGGAGGCGCAGTTGTACTTGGAAACAGGGCTGAATCTCATCAGGGGCAGAGTCCACCTGGACCCCAGCTCCAGACTTTCTATTCTGTCACTGTGAGAGCCAAGTTGGTGGGACCAACATGTTGCTAATACCAATGCAAAGAAGGAAGACTTTAAGACAGCATGTGACACAGACACCTGACCAAAGCCACATTCTGTCCTCAGGGCCCATCAATGCCTAGCTGTGGCCAGGAGGCTGGCCCTGGTCAGCACCTGCTCTGCAGCTTCTGCAGAGCCAGGCAGCTTCTTCTTCCCCCACGCAGAAGCCTCCCTTGGTGCCCCACTGAGAGGAAGCTGGGAAGAGACAACTGTTTCTATATCAAAGGTGAAGTGATTATGACCTTCTATTGCTTAATGTATATGTACACACATACCTACATATGTGTTCAGTAAGAAGCAATACAGTCTTTAAAAACACAGTACATACAGGTTACCAGTTAAACCATACAGATCACTAAACTTGGGAATGTAAAAGCAGACACAGGAAGTGACCACTGCAGCTGACCTGCTCATCCCTTTTACTTTCTTCTCTCTGATTGCAGAGGACTCCTGATGGGCTAGTGCATGAGCAGTGTGTGGCCACTGCATGCTGTTTCCCCACAGTCATATAGAACATGGAAATGCCACAGCCCCACCCTGGCCAGTAAGGGTTCGGGACCCAGCTACCTAAAGAGCCTAGACAAGGAGCCCAGGCTAGACACCCTTTCTAGGCCCACCCAATTGGTGGAGCTTCCCCTCTTCTTATACTTCAGAAGACACTCCTCATAACCACCTCCTTTGTCCATGATTTTACCCTGTGACTCTGTAAGACACCAGCCCTGTGTGGATGCTAACAGTGTGACGTGTACAGGCACTGGGTGATGCACTTCCTGGAGCGATGGTATCACCCCAAGGCAGGCCTGGGGAACCTGTAAGGTGGGAAGGAGAGGCTTCCTCGGCACTGGTGCTGAGCTGAGAGAAGGCAGGTGGGTGAAAAGCAGTTTCACAGGTGTCCCAACCTGGAGGGGAAGGGAGCTTGCACAAAGAAAACTGTCAAGTCCAGTGCGTCTATGTTAGGACAAGCAAGAAGATGAGGAGGCAATTCCTGCCACATCTGGAAAGAGAAAGTGGTCTGCCTGTTCTGATCCCCTCAGTTTGCATGAACATGTGTGGGGACAACAGCTGTAGATAAAGAGGATGGCATGGAGCACAGATGAGAAAAAATCTAGGCCATGGTATGTGTGCACACACAGATAAAGGTGAAAACCAAGCAATGGCAGGTTTTCTAAGCTTCCTATTACAAGAATTTTTTTTTGTATTTTTAGGGAAGGGTTTACAGGGTGTTCAGGGTCTCACTACTAGATCAGACTCATAGTGATCCACCTTTTTACAGCCTCCCTAGTGCTGGGATTACAGGGGCGCGGCAACATGCCCAGTCTCAACTGCTATCTCAGCACACCCCTGGGGTGGGGCCAGCACCTGCAAGGTGAGCCTCGGGATCAAACCCCCAGCCCCTGTGCCTGTTTGCAGGCGCTTCAGTCCGTTGAGCTATTTGGCCGGCCCTATGACACTGTTTTTATTTATAGTTTTTCTTCAAAACACAATTTTCTAATATGCCAATTTAATCCTTATTTACACTTTTGAAAACATGTCAGAGACTTTGTTTAATCAATGACTTACATCTACTAGTCAATCAACTGTAGGTCAATATGGATAGATTTTAGGAGAGAAATCAGATGTAAACAATATAGTGTCTAGATGGGGGAAAACCCTTCAAATAAGTAAAAAATCTCACAATGATAATTTAAACTGAAAACTTCTCAGATGCAACTAGAAAGTAGACTTTTAGAGCTGAGGAAAAGGGGATGAAAATAACCCCTGTATGTTATATGCGCGTATCAATATAACAAAAATAACTTCATTCCCCCACATTACTCATATGTACTAATTTAAACACACACACACACACACACACACACACACACACACACACACACACACACAATTCCCAGATGTACAATTTACAGTCATAAGGCTATAAGGAGAACTAACATGCAATTCAGTGTACTGGAGAATTGGTTTCATGGAAGCCAACTTGTAACCTTCCAGGCCTATCACATACCTGTCTGTGAAGACTGCAGACTTAGCTGGCAAAACATCACATGGGAAAACGAGGTCCATACATTGAGACTGTCAATTCTAACTGCTGACTTTAGTCAATGAAAGGAATGGAATACTTACACATTAGTTTATACTTAAAAGCTTATATACTAAAATCCAGAAATCAGGAATAAGTAAAGAAAGACACCTAACCAGGGGCAGTAACATCACAACCTGCTGTGCTGACATAGCACTGACCAAACCCACACACTACTGACAGACCTTGCACCTAGGCATAGTGGAATTTCATACTCACCTAAACCCTTTTGACCAGGGTTCTTAGCAAAGCCAAAGGTAAACTGATAAAAGTCCTTAAACTTCGCAGAGTCCTTAAGCTCCTGTTCCAATCTGGGCAGAAGAGCCTTCAGCTTTTCTGTGCTATCACACCTGTGCAGACAGAGACAGGTCCGTTACTCGTGCTACACAGGCCCCCAACACACATTTCCTGCTCGGCTGGAGCTCCACTTCCTGGCTTCTCTCATCTCTGAGGCAACAAGATTAACTTCTAAGGGATGGGGTATGAGTGGATGGTGGTGACAACTCTCTTGCACAAAGGAACGTGAAATGGTAACAGCTGCAAAGCTGTAGGTGTAGTAAAACCCGGGAGCCTTAAACATCAAGTAGGTGAAGGCACGGTATGTGAATTCTCTCCCAGTAAAACTGTTCAAAGAAAAACCCCAAACTACTCATCCTTTTGTTCAGTTAGAGCAGGGCAGGACGTAGCCCTGCAGCTGTGACTATGTGGAGAGGTCAAGGCCCTTACAATGACATCCACAGGAGGGAAGTCCCAAACACCTCAGGGCCTGCAGGACAGGGCCCCCAGCCACGCTGGGCACCTGAAGGCTCTGTGCTGCCACACAAGGAAAAAATCTTCTTTCTAAGTATTTTGGCACCTCTATGATGTAGAGCTGGATTTAAGATAGCAATTATGAAAACTCTATTATAAATCTGTTTAAATTTTTTTCCTCTAAAACATTAAAAACTAAAAATATTAAACTGAGCTGGGTGCATGGACAATGTACCTAGAATACGTCAGGCTCCGGGTTCAGTATAACTCAGCAGGAACTACTATTTGGCCTTTAAGGCAGAGATGCAGAGCAGCGGAACAAGTTTTCCTTTTTTATTTCATCTGACTTGGTGCTGTATAGCAGTTACCTACCGTGCAGGTAGAAAAGAGCTCAGGAAGAGAATGGGAGACACCTCAGAGTAGCCTGGAGAGCCCAGGAGCACACACAAGAGCCCCCCCTCCCCGCGCCCATAGCACCAGCCGCCCACAGCACAGCAGCACCTGGCTAGTGTGCATGTGGGCCAGAGGTGAGGGTTTCCCCACAGCACCGCTCTACAGACAGATGGTGGCCAATTCCTCACTCTTCTGTCTAGCCGGCACCCCGGCCTGTGTGCCCCTAGTAACTGGGCATCCAGTACACCACTGTGTGTGTGGCTTCTCTGGCCTGTGTCTATCTGTGAGGTTCACTGCTCCATCTGCAGCCTTAGTCCCTTTTCCTTGCCACGTGGAACCCTAATATTTGGAGAACAGTCTGACCGTTCTAGTCTTGTTACTGCAAGTAGCACTGTCAGGCCTCTACACATGCATCCCAGCACACACACGAACACACTCCACCAGGCATTCAGTCCACAGACAGACAGCCGGGTTCCAGCTGCGAAGTCAGCACCCTGCACCAGAGCTCCTGGGGCCCATCTTCACGACCCGCTGCTTTCTTGGGCAACTCAGAGGGCAGGTTTTGATGGGGTTCAAGTTACCTGCACCTCCTCAGTGAATGAGGTAGCATCTGTTTTCACTGGCCATTTGCATATTCTTTTGTAAGAGTGTATGCAGGGCTTGGAGAGATAGCTCAGTAGAATAAGCGCTTGCCTGACAAGTGCAGGGTCCTGAGTTCAATCCCCGGTAAGTATGCAAATCTCTTGCTCATTTTCCAATCAGGCATTTTCTTATTATTTTGCAAGAATTCTTTAGAGACACAAGCTTTTGTCAGTTGGGTACTATATTTTTAAAGTATTCTTACCCAGAATGTGGACTGCCTTTTTACTTCCCTGCTGTTTTGTGTGACCATAAGTTATTTTTAGAGGCTTTCTGCTTCTGTTTTTGCTATTAAGATCTATAATCACATGAAACTGACTCTCATCCATTCAGAAGAGGGATCAAGGTTTTTCCCCCATAATTAATCAATTCTCTCAGGACCACCGATTGAAAAGATGTTTCAAATCTTGCCTATCTCTCCAGTTACTGTCTGACTTTATGGAAGTATTGTACATCTTTAATCTGACTTATCTTAAGCATTTGAATTTTTAAGATACTGAGCATAACATTTTAAAATTCAGGCCAATGGTGGCATTTGGAGGCTGAGGGAAGAGCACCATGAATGTGAGGCTAACTCGGAGTGCATAGAGACCATCCAAACACAGAAACATAGCCTTCACTCTGCTTTGCTACATCATTGTTTGTTACACACGTTATTTAATTAGATTTATCTTAGGTTTCGTTCCTCCATCTCACAGGGAAAGTGGCTTAACATTCAGATGTGTTTGCTGAAGGATTTGTCAAACTAAAAATTTCTTTTTAGTTCTGTCCATTTATCTTTCTTCAGTCATGAGTAGATGCTGAATTTGATCAATTCAGGCATTACAATGGTCTTTTCTTTCTGCTGGGTGTTAATGTGGTGAATGACGCTGACTTTGTGATAGCAAAAGAATCTCCTAATCCTTGACACTAGCAAACTACCACGATTCTAGCTTTTTGTCTACTGGTTTGTCTTTGCAAGTAGATTTAATTCACTAAAAATTCCTCCACATTTTGTGCCTGCTTCACAAATTTTTTTTTTTTTTTTGACGAGTCTCACTATGCTGTTCAGAGGGGCCTTGAATTATGTAGCCAAGGCTGTCCTTAAACTCCTGGAAATCCTCCTGCCTCAGCCTCCCCTATGCTGGGATTACAAGAGTGTGCCACCACACCTGGCATGTTCCTAGTCTTTTGACTGAGTGAGGCCATAACTCTTCACTTACAGAATGTCCTTCCTACGTTTTCTTATTTAAGGAAGTGCTGCCCTCACAATAACTTGAGGAATGTTTCCTCTTCTCTGGAGGAGCTGGTTAAAACTGCTAACCCTTTTCATTAGGTAGTAGATGTGCTAATGAAACCATTCTAACCACAAGTTTCCTTTTTGAGAATTCACAGGTTCAAATGCTAGGATGTAAGGAACTATTAGGATTTCTTATTTCTTCCCATGTCAACTTTAGGAAATTGTTATGACAGGCTGTTAATTTACTGACATAAACTTGTCTACAATAAAGGTGTTTCTGAATGTCTGCAGGATCCATAATGACAAGCTCTCTTTCCATTCTGTATTTAGTGCTTTTATGGCTTTTCAAGTAACAAAACATGTCTTTTTTTTAAATTTTTATTTATTTATTTATTTATTAGAGAGAGAGAGAGAGAGAGAGAGAGAGAGAGAGAGAGAGAGAGAGTGTGGTGTGTGTGTGTGTGTGGCCAGCTCAGCCCACCAGGG